TTTAGGGTTTAGGGTTTAGGGTTTAGGGTTTAGGGTTTAGGGTTTAGGGAACACAATTTATAAGTCCACTTGCACTTCGGGGACTTAGGGGGCTTATAAGTACAGTTATTTTTGGGGTTATAAGTACCCTGAACCCCCCGAGTACGGATTAGGCCTGAACAGCATGGCGTTGAGGGTTTGGGGTAAGGTTTGGGAGTTTGGGGTTTCGGGCTTTGGGAGCTAGAGGCCTGAGGCTTTAGGGAGTCAGGGGTGAACTCTGTGAGACAAACTAGATCGCGTGGGAGTCGAGCGATTTGTGTGTAGGCATTAGGGTTTAGGGTTTAGGGTTTAGGGTTTAGGGTTTAGGGTGTGGGCTCCGCCGGTTTGTTTGTAGAGGCTCAGGCGTGAGTGCCTCAAGGAAGATCAGAGACAGCAGGATCGCCGCGCTTTTGTTGAAGTTGCCCGCCTCAGGTTCTTCAAGCATGGGTCTGGGTTTAGGGTTTAGGGTTTAGGGTCTAGGGTCTAGGGTTCAGGGTTTAGGGTTTGGGGTTTGGGGTTTAGGGTTTAGGGTTTAGGGTTTAGGGTTTGGGGTTTGAACTTAGAACTTAAGGACCCAAAAAACATGCACAAAACAAGTGGACCACCAGGAGCCAGTTGTCAGTCCTTCGAGGGCTTCCAAACCCTAAACCCCAAACCCTAAACCCTAAACCCTACAAGCCCCAAAACGCTTGCTTCGGGGTTTGGGTTTAGGAGACAAAGGCTTTCACAGAATTTGGCCTCTGGATCTGCAGTTTAGGGTTTAGGGTTTAATTCGGGTTTAGGGTTTAGGGTTTAGGGTTTAGGGTTTAGGGTTTAGGGTTTAGGGTTTAGGGTTTAGGGTTTAGGGTTTAGCGTTTAGGGTTTAGGGTTTAGGGTTTACGGTTTAGGGTTTAGGGTTTAGGCGCTGGGTTCGGCGGTCCAGAGCCCCAATGCTTCTCTGCGTTTTGGTCCCGCGGGCTCGCCCAGCGCATTCACGGGATCAGACTGGACAAGCTACTGTGCGGAGGGTTTAGGGTTTAGGGTTTAGGGTTTCGGGTTTTGGGTTTAGGGTTTAGGGTTTAGGGTTTAGGGTTGGGATGTTCCTCCTTATACTAGCAGTCCTTAATTGGGATTATCATAGGTGGTACTCTAATCCCTATTCAGGAAATTCAGGACGGCGAGTATCAGGGGCAACATCCCAAGTGGGGACCAGGGACATGTTGCAGCATAGAACAATGCACTCGACGAAGCCTACAAGAGACAGTATGAGACGGAACCCTAAACCCTAAACCCTAAACCCTAAACCCTAAACCCTAAACCCGAAACCCTAAACCCCTCAACCCTAAACCCCTCAACCCTCAACCCTAAACCCTAAACCCACAAAACACAACAAACAACAACACACACTCTCTTAGCAGCCCTCTGGTCTGAACCCCATACATCCTGGACCCCCCTTTCAACCCGACAAACCCTGTGAATTGAGATGCTCCCCCTTACACGAACGGCCCTTAATAGGGATTATAGTAGCCCCCCCCCCCCCCCAACTACTAAAGGCCTGTCAGTATAAGGGAACATCCCAACCTGTCAAACCTTTTAGGGTTTAGGGTTTGGGGTTTAGGGTTTAGGGTCTAGGGTCTAGGGTCGTAAGCCCCCGCAAAGGCCCCTGTAAACCCTGAAAACCCTGACAAACGAACCTGACACAAGCCCGAACGCCGCACGGTTCTCCCATTTGCTAAAGAACCCCCCCCCCCCGCCCCCCCCGCCCCCCCCCCCGCCCCCGCCCCCCCCACCCCCCCCCCTCGCCGACCCGCCCCCCCCCCTGCCACCCCTCCCGCCCCCCCCCCGCCCCCCCCTCCCCAAAACCCCCCCCCCCCCCCCAAAAAAAAAGTATTTGAAAATAACAAAATAACAAGAATAAGCAAAAAAAAATAATCTGCCCTTGCAAGGAAGAACATTCGTTTGGGTGTTTCCTAAGCAAATCAACCCTACAGCCCTAAGCCCTAAACCCTAAGCAGTCTATGACGATGAATGTTTCAGCCCTAGCCCCTGAAAGTCCACGAATGAGCTCTTTTGTGAATGCTTCATAGGGCTTATAGGGCTCTTTGGGGTATAGAGCTTATAGGGCATATAGGATCTATAGGGTTCATTCGGGTTTACAGGGCTTTTGGGGTTTATAGGGCCTATAAGGTTTATAGGGTTTATAGGGCTCATTAGGGTTCATAGGGTTTATCGGGTTCATAGGGTTTATGGGCCATTTACGCTTTGTGGTTTGCGGATTCAGAATCTAAACCCTAAATCCTAAATCCTACACCCTAACCCCTAAACCCTAAACCCTATCTGCCAAGGCCGCAGCAAACGCAGATGTCGCTGGGCTGAGCTTGACGACCATAAAGGTCACATAGAGGTTATAGACCTCTGCGGTCGCAACAGCTCAAGTCCTGAAGCCTTAAACCCGGACATTGTTTAGGGTTTAGGGTTTGGGGTGTTTAGGGTTTTTAGGGTTTTTAGGTTTAGAGGGCCCTCAAACCTCAAGACTCTACACCCTATAAACCCTAAACACCTTAAGCTCGCTCCGGCTCGAAGTCCCAACGCAACAACCCCAACCCCCAAAACCCTAAACCCCTAAACCCCAAACCCTAAACCCTAAACCCTAAACCCCTAAACCCTAAGGTCTTAAAGTCCCAAACGCCCCACTCGGAGGATCGGTGGGCTTTGCAAGTAGGTACTTAGGCACCACCATAGAGTACCCCAACCAGGACCATGCACCATAGGTATAGAACCATACTTCAGAACCTCTACGCCCTAAACCCTCTGGATCCTCAAATTTCGACCCTCAACCTAAACCTTAAACCCTAAACCCTGAACCCGAAACCCTAAACCCTAAACCCCCGCTCAGGGTTTGGGGCTTAACCTCCGCAGCACGCCGCGTGCTCGTTAGCATCGATTTGCGCGACCTTGCGCGACCTGGCGCTGCGTATGCTCGATGGTCTCTGGTTTAGGGTCATAGGGTTTAGGGTTTAGGGTTTAGGGTTTAGGGTTTAGGGTTTAGGGTTTAGGGTTTAGGGTTTAGGGTTTGCCCAGCTCTACCTGCACCGGGAAATCCACTCGAATCTCCAGCTTCGCGTGGGCGAGGCGGTGGCGACCCCCCCAAATGCCGTCCAGGCTTCATGTCCGAGCCAGGAGCCTCCTTGCGTGCAGCTTTTCAAGCCCAAAGAACGGAATCCTAGCAAAGCTTGTGGGGTTTAGGGTTTAGGGTTTAGGGTTTAGGGTTTGGGGTTTGGGGTTTGGGGTTTGGGGTTTGGGGTTTGGGGTTTGGGGTTTGGGGTTTGGGGTTTTGGGTTTCGGCAGAAACCTACTTCTGAGGCAACGTACCCCGAACAACACGCACCTGCTTCCTTGGAAGCCAACCATATTGGAAAAAGGCTGCCATGTTTTTGTGTTGGTTACTTTATCAGGGAACCTTGAACCAAACCCTAAAGGCTCAACCCTCAACCCTCAACCCTCAACCCTAGAACCTAAACGCTCAACCCTCAACCCTCAACCCTCAACCCTCAACCCTCAACCCTCAACCCTCAACCCTAAACCCTAACAAAAGGGCAGCGCCGGGCCATTGCCGAGCCCCTCACGAAGGCACCGAGACCCGAGAAGATGACCTCGGGCTGGAAATCGTAAGCGCCACAACGCCAGTCAACAAAAAGCGTTTAGGTTCAGGGTTTAAGGTTTAGGGCTTAGGGTGTAGGCCAGAGGTGTAAAACTTTAAGCCTAAACACCAAAGGCCTAAACCCTGACAGCACTGACACCCAAACTCAACCCTGCGACCATGAAGCCCTTAAGACGCAAAATGCCCCAATAACTAAAGGTTTTGAGCCCGTGCTAACTCTATTAGCAGCAACACCGACCCTTAAACTACATCGCTATTATCGTAAGTGGTACCCCAAAATAGCCTGAAGCAACAATCCAATTCTGAGGGCTAGCACATGAACCGAAACCCCAACCCAAAAGGACAGCAGACCCTGCTTCCACCGCGTTCAGCAAGCCCTCAACCCTCAACCCCGTCCAAGTTGGGGGGTTGGGCCTTTAAAGGCATTGTGTCAAGGCTCTAGAAACCTCAAAACCCTGAACCCCAAATCCCAAACCCCAAACCTCGGCTCTTTCCGCAGACAGGCGAAATGCCTAGGCGTCCAAGCTGTGTCTTTCAAAGGACGGTCCTTGTGACTGCCGTGCAGGCTATTGTCAAAGCTCGCCAGAAATAAACAGGATGCATTGGCCTAGACAGTGGCTGGACTATCTCCTACACCCTAAAAACCCCCCCTGACAAAAAAAACCTAAAACCCTAAACCCCTCAAACCCCTAAAGCCCCCAAAACACAAAGACCCTCACCCTACAAATCCAAAAAAACCAGGAGGACCCTTAACCTAAACCCCTAAAACGCGAAGACCCGAACCTCGGGAGCCTTGGCCTAAAACCCCAAAAACAACACCCTAAAACCATAAAACCCTAAACCCGAAGAGCCTACGTAACCCAAAAATCCTAAAATCCTGGAGGCAAGAGCTTGGGAGCCTTGGCCCATAGCTCCTTTCAAATTAGAGCTGCCGCACTTCGGTAGCTCAGGGTCGCGGGGTGAGGGGTTTCTGTACCGTTTTGGGGGTTCAGGGTTTAGGGTTCAGGGTCAGGGTTTACGGTTTAGGATATAGGGTTTAGGGTTTAGGGATGAAGATGACGTCACTGAAGACTTTCCGGGGGTGCTGTAGGGCGTCGCGTGCGGGGTTTCCTGCTCAAGTACCTAGAGGCTTCTTCTTTTGCGGCTACTACAACGGAGTTAAGGGAACTACAGAAATTTCAGAGAGTATCCTACAGCCTAAAATAATATAGGGGCCTTAATGATTATAGAATGGGTAAAAAAAGTAGAATTATGAAGGGGCCATAAGGGAATAATAGCTAATAATTTTCGCTGACCCCTATATTACATGTCTACAAGCCTCTAGGTCAGGTGCAGGATGCTGCTACGAGCCAGGCCGGTCAACGCAACATTGGAAGAGGTTGATGCCGAACAGTGACACTCCTTGTGATGTCCCCGCCTTGGCAAGGGTTTAGGGTTTAGGGTTTAGGGTTTAGGGTTTAGGGTTTAGGGTTTAGGGTTTAGGGTTTAGGGTTTAAGGGTTTAGGGTTTGGGGTTTGGGGTTTGGGGTTTAGGGTTTAGGGTTTAGGGTTTAGAGGTACCCTAAACCCTGAACCCTGAGAGGGGGGGGGAGGGGTGGGGTCAAGGGGTTCAGTTGTTAGAGCTCATGGTTTAGGGCAGAAGTCTTTCCTGAAAAGAGCACATCACAACCCGACACCCGAAACCCTGGCGCCCCAAGCTGCACCAAATGCAAACAACACGGGCTTAGGGTTCTGAGCGTTTCCTCACCGTCTGAGACGACTACCACACAAATTTACTCCATAAACCTCAAACCGTCCCTGACTCCGCAACTACTTGGACGTTCATGGGCAGTCATCAATAGGGTTCGGAGATTTTCTCCTACACCGACAGTAAACATTGATAATGTGATTTTGCAATGCACATTGCTTTTTTGTTGCATCCAGCTCTTGCATCTACGCTTCGGTCTTGCAACCAAGAATGCTAAAATGTGCGAAACATTGAAGGAAAGAACTTGCGAACACTAGGGCGACCATTTTGCTCCAATATTTGCCTGAGAATGCAACACTGTAGAGGTGGGTTTGTTCGCCATGTGTGCGGATCTTTTCCAAGGTTGTCTGCAAGCATGTTTGCCACCGAACATTGGGGGCGGTGCAAATTGTCGTGGCCAAAATGCGCAGAAACATTTCGCACACATGACAACTCTGTCGGCGACCTGGCTAGCGTAAGAGTGTAAGAAAATCACCAAGACGGGGTCATACGCATGGCACCTTTATTATGGGAGTTGACAATCAACAGAGACGCCGAATATAGATCCCAAAATCATAGGATTCCCTTATAACAAGGACCCCCAAGAAGGTAGCCCTGTTTTCCGAGACCCTCAGACAATTAAGACCTCGGTTATACACACTGTGAACGTCCAACTGGGGACTCAGTAGTACTAGTATCACCAAAAGCTCGCCCAGTGTTTCTTCTCTAAGGATTCCGAAATACAACAATTGAGGTGGTCAAAGCCTGTTTCATGTTTGCATTGCTCGGAATCCTGTCTATCGAACCGTTCATCACGAACCATTTACTTCCAGCTTAGAAACGGACAAGTCTTGCGTCTAGGCTTCGAGTACACTGTAACCGTACACAGATAATAAGTAAACTTTAGACTACGGATGCCAACAAACCACAGTACTTGAATGACGGGAGGCAGTTTGCTGGCTCTTTCGTGTCCTGCCTGTGCCTCAGGGCTCAAGGAGGGTCAGCGCAAAAATCGCCCTAGATCCTGAGTCGCAGGTCCTAAGCCCCTGCAACCGCTGACCGAGGAAGGCTACACTGAGGGTCTCATTTGTAGACCCTCAGCACAGCTCCTCAACGCATATCACAAGTGCTCCTTCAGACATTCTAAAGGCAAACACTGCACAAACCCATACCGCTAAGTGTTGTCAGGATTTCAGGACGAATCCTCATACGCACCCCCGGACATCCTCAGCCCTTCACACCTTCAGAAACTCCCAGCCACCCCGCCACCCCTCCCGCAAGTACTCCTTGACACGGGCCGGAAGATACGAGGATGTTTTATGGTTTTAAACATCGGAGCTTATGGTTGCCTAACCCTAAACCCTAAACCCTAAACCCTAAACCCTAAACCCTAAACCCTAAACCCTAAACCCTAAACCCTAAACCCTGAACCTCCTCGAAAGCCCCCTCCCCCCCCCCTGCCCACCTTTGATCAACTCCAGCGAGCGCCCTGCGAAGTGCCGCACCACATCCGGGCCCGGACGCCGGAGCCTTGGGTTGGGGTTTAGGGCTTAGGGTTTAGGGTTTAGGGTTTAGGGTTTAGGGTTTAGGGTTTAGGGTTTGGGGTTTAGGGTTTAGGGTTTAGGGTTTAGGGTTTAGGGTTTAGGGTTTGGGGTTTGGGGTTTAGGGTTTGGGGTTTGGGGTTTAGGGTTTAGGGTTTAGGGTTCAGGGTTCAGGGTTCAGGGATCAGGGTTCAGGGTTCAGGGTTTAGGGTTTAGGGTTTAGGGTTTGAGGTTTGGAGTTTGGAGTTTGGGGCTTAAAGGTTTCGGGATTCGGGCTGAGGGTTTAGGACTGACTGAGGGGTTGCGTACCCTTCTTTGGTACAGGAGGGGGGGGGGGGGGGGCATTAGGGGCATCTGCTGGATGCTGTGGATACCTATAGGACCTAGGCATGCCACAACAGAGTCCAGTCCAAGACCTGAAAACCCTATGCCCTGGGTTTAGGGTTTAGGGTTTAGGGTTTAGGGTTTAGGGTTTAGGGTTTAGGGTTTAGGGTTTAGGGTTTAGGCCCTGAGGCCTTTAACCCGAAACCCCCAGACCCCCAAAACCCCTGAATCCCTAAGTCCCTAAAACCCTACTGTAAATCCTAAGCCCCAACTTTGCGGGTGTAGGGTTTAGGGTTTAGGGTTTACGGTTTAGGGTTTAGGGTTTAGGGTTTAGGGTTTAGGGTTTAGGGTTTAGGGTTTAGGGTTTAGGCTAAACCAAGTTCGCCGGGGGGCGAGCTCCAGAAGCCACACCGGAAGAAGTAGGTCTTGCGCGACTGGAGGTGCCTCTTCTCCTCCGCCTCCTTGGGGGTTGGGGGCTTTTGGGGGGCCAAGGTATTCGGGTTTGGGGTTCAGGGCTGTATAGCTTTAGGGCTTCAGGTTTCTGGCTGAAGGGTTGAGGGTAACAGCTTTACCTTAGTAAGCGATACCGTTTTTGTGTAGGATTCCTGAGGGTTTTACACGAAGGTCTTTAACAACAGCCTAGAACAAAGTAGCTTGTTTTTCCCCACCCTCGGTGTGTTGTTGCGGCTCTTCCCCTCGCCCGGTCTACTCCTCGCCCATCACCCGTATCCCACCCCAGAGTAGCCCCAGAGAGATTCCCGGCGTGCCCAAGCCCAGATTATCCTCAGTGAGCCCCCAGAGTATGGGGTGCGCAGCAGTGCCCAACCCCAAGAGGACGTGTCCTCAGGCAATCCCTGGAGTGCCAGCCCCCAAAGTATCTCCAACCCTAAACCCTAAACCCTAACCCTAAACCCTAAACCCTAGACCCTAAACCCTAAACCCTAAACCCTAACCCCAAATCCCAAAACCCAGTGTATCCCCAGAGAATCCGGAGTGCCCGACCCCAAGAGTATGCCCAGAGAATCCCGACTCCCCTGTCAAACCCTAAACCCTAAACCCTAAAGCCATTAAAAATGTTCAGCCAAGAAGGCGGCGCTTCCCAGAGAAACTGCTTCTTGGGAGAGTACTAGGTTGCCCCGGTTGAGAATCCCTAAACCCTGAACCCTAAACCCTAAACCCTAAACCCTAAAGCACATTCTCTATCTCGAGCGATCTGGACCGAGGCGCCCCTTGGTCGGCTATGGTGTAGAGGACGAAGTGCAGAGGGGGTCTACCGCAGTACTGGTTCCTGGGAGGGGTAGGGGTTTAGATCCCTTTAGGGTTTAGGGTTTAGGGTTTAGGGTTTAGGGTTTAGGGTTTAGGGGTTAGGGGTTTAGGGTCTTAACATTACGAAAGTATAGCACTTGTATTTTACTAAAACCAGGAGTAACCTGGAATAAAAAAGGGTACCTGTTTTTGGTGTAAGAGCTTTTAGCTCAGCTTTGGAGTGGACCCTGGAAAAAAAAGTATATACTTTTTAGGTTTAAGTAGCTATTATAGGAACCCAGAACCAAAAAAAGTATTAAAGTGTAGTACTCCAAAACCCAGTTAAAGGAACCCAAACCCTAAAACCAGGGAAGAAGGGCCTACTCTGGGTGCTAGTTTTCTTTTCGGCGACAAGACACCCTACAAGAACAACTTTTTATCAGATCCGCTATGCTTGTCCCCTACACCCTGAACCATAATCATGCTTAAAGGCAGATGGAGGAAGCAACACAAGGTGTCGTATGGCACGTTGATCGTCTATCTTACGGAAACATCCACTACCCTCCCTCGAACTTCACCGTAGCGGCCCAACCCCCAAACCGCCGATCATGGCTTCGATTTTGTTCCGGGCTTGGGCCCCCCCTAAACCCTGAGCCATTCTCGTGCCGATTCTGGTTCCAAGAAAAGGCCCTAAACCATCGATCATGGTTCCGACTCTGGTGCCGGGTTTACCCCCCCCCCAACCCTGAACCAGAATCGTGTCGATTATGGTACGGGTTATGTTCACAGCAATTCGCGGGGTGCAGGGAAATATTTGCTTGGGGCTTATCAAGTTCATGGTTGGGAGAGTATCAAAAATCTAAATTTACATTCCTTATTGGGTTGAAGTACCCTTAAAAATGCAAAATGCTACCCAACTATGACAAAGTGATAGGGCCTGGGGCCAAGGGTTGAGGGTCTTCCTAGGTTCAGACATGGAGGCCGCCCGAACTTAGTGAGTTTTTTGACCGCCGCCTATCGTACTTTGAATGGAGTGCCCTCAAGTTTAGGGTTTAGGGTTTAGGGTTTAGGGCTTGGGGTGTAGGGTTTAGGGTTTAGGGTTTAGGGTTTAGGGTTTAGGGTTTAGGGTTTAGGGTTTAGGGTTTAGGGTTTAGGGTTTAGGGTTTAGGGTTTAGGGTTTAGGGCTTAGGGTTTAGTTTTTGTTTTTTTTAATTGGGGTTTAGGGCTGCCGAAACCCTAAAATCCTTAACCCCCCAAAGCCACCAAAGCCACCAGAAAACGGGAACCAGAGGCCGAGAAACAGGTCCAAAGGTGTGAACATCGGGATGCCAGTGGCCTGCCACCTGAAGCTTTTAGAGTTCAGGGCGCTTGGGGGGTTTAGGGGGGTTTAGGGGGGGTTTAGGGGGGTTTAGGGGGGTTTAGGGGGGTTTAGGGGGGTTTAGGGGGGTTTAGGGGGGTTTAGGGGGGTTTAGGGGGTTAGGGATATTTACGGTTCAGTGGCTTCAAGGCGCAGGTTCACGTGGGCAGGTTTGCTTTGCTTCAAGGGACTAAAGGAGGGACCCTTGTGAGCGAATGGGCATTCTGGCTCATGTGCGGGGCTACTTCGGTATGTAGAGTCTATATCAAGTACATATAGGGGTGGGTTGCACAGGGAAAAACATGCCCTTCTAGGGATGCCTCCTTACATCCCTAAATTCAACCGCTGAGAGCCTTGCCCCTAAACCCCCAAATTTCTTCCATACCGTCTTGAGAGGCTTAGGGGAGAACACATGCAAACCCCAACAAAGTGGAACTCATCAGTGTAAAGCTCTCCCTCATAGGGCCCTACCGGGCCTGCAAACCCGAAAACACCCTTAGAACCACCACCGAAGCTCCCTCCCCGAACCCTGGGTCTAGGGTTTAGGGTTTAGGGTTTCGGGTTTAGGGTTCAGGCTCAACAGCAAACATCCTTCATGAGAACCGAAGGCGCTGAATGACGTCGCAGAAGCGACTCACGCCCCACAAGCAGAACCTTGTCGTCTTTCTGACATAAGGGGTTAAAAGAGTTTAGGGTTTAGGGTTTAGGGCTTAGGGTTTGAGGTTTAGGATTTAGGGTTTAGGGTTTAGGGTTTGGGATTAAAAGGGTTTAGGCTGAGGATTTGCAACATAAGGTTGAGAGAGCTGGCTGCTTGCTCTTCCTGCTTTTGATACCCTCGAGCCTAAAAGCAACCTCACCAAAAACCCTAAACCCTATACCCTAAACCCTAAACCAGTCCATCGTAATACCCCTGTCGCGCGCCAAGGCAGGCAAATGCAATTTTCTGGGTGCAGGGTTTAGGGTAAAAACACCCTGCAGGTTCACGTTCTAAATCGGAGATGTTGTAAGGCTCAGAAAGGGTTAGCACCACGAAGCCCTGAAAGTCAAAACCCGGGAGGTTGAGCAAAAGCGAGGGACCAAGCGCCCATCCCCAGCACCAAAGCACTCCACAACCTTTTGCCCAAACCCAAAAACCTCAACAGCCAACAAGCTAAACCCCGAACCCTCAACCCTAAACCCTCAACCCTCGACCCTAAACCCTAAACCCTAAGCCCTAAACCCCAAACCCTGAACACCAAGAGCTAACTTGCAGAGGAGCGTGAAAGTGGGGCCTGGGACCAACTCCAAGGCATCAAGCATCCGGCGGTACTCCCGGATCTGGCCGTAGCCTTGTTGTCCCTAAACCCTAAACCCTAAACCCTAAACCCTAAACCCTAAACCCTCCAGGGCTTGGGGTTTCGAGGGTTTTGAGGGTTTAAGCTTAGGGTTTTAGGGTTTACTGCAGGGTTTCGGGCTTAGGATATTTTAGGGTTTAGGCTTAGGGTTTTTGAGGTATGTTTTGGGTTTATGTTGAGGGTTTGGGATTTCAATGGAGAGATTACTGAAACTGCAATAGCTCTAGCAGAATCGAGCATGACAACGAACCCCGAACCCTCAACCCAACCACCCCCCCTCCCCCCCGGGCCAACTTCACTAATTAGCCCAAGACATACAGTTAGCCATCTTGCGGTCCTTTCCGTATCCTAAACACAAGGCTCCGGTTTAGGGTGTAGGGCTTATAGGGTTTCGGATTTCGGGCTTAGGGTCTAGTGTTGCGGAAGACCCCAAATGCCCCAAAACCCTAACCCCCAGGCCCCCCCCCCCCCCCCCCCCCCCCCAAACCCGAAACCCTAAACCCTAAACCCTAAGCGTCGAGCATGCCCTGAGCAAGGTGCGCTTGTGTCCCAGGTTTGGCAGATCCGAATCGGTGAGCTCCGGCGGGGTTTGTCCTGATTTACAGCCCAGGGCCACGGGTTTGGGATTAAACCTGTAACCTCTACACCCTAAACCACGTTGTACGGAGACTAAACCCTAACCCAAAACCCAAAACCCAAAACCCTAAGCCCTAAGCCCTAAGCCCTAAGCCCTAAGCCCTAAGCCCTAAGCCCTAAGCCCTAAGCCCTAAGCCCTAAGCCCTAAACCCTAAACCCTACCTTCAAACATGTAGGACCGTTGGCGTTTCAAAGGCTTCGGGCTCAGAGGTTCGGCCTTCGGACTTCAGTCTGACTTCCACTCCCATCAGCCCTAAACCCAGGGTTAGGGTTTAGGGTTGGGATTTAGGGTTTATTAATTTGGGGTTTGGGGTTTAGGGTTTGGGGTTTAGTGTTTGTTGGCCTTCTTTCTTCACTTCTGCAAAAGCCAGTTGTTGGCCCTGAACCCGCGACAGCCAAAGCTACATCCCACATGAGCCCAAAGCCTCATAAACCCTAAACCCGAGACCCCAAACCCCAAACCCGAACCCCAAACCCAAAACCCCAAACCCCAAACCCCAAACCCCAAACCCCAAACCCCAAACCCTAAACCCTAAACCCTAAACCCCAAACCCTAAACCCTAAACCCTAAACCCTCTCCCGCCCTTCGCCTTCCGGCGTGACAATGAACTGGTCGAAGGCCCACAGCGGTAAGGTGATCGCTGGACGCTCACGCTCCCCCTCCACCTCTAGGTGAGGGCTTAGGGTTTAGGGCTTAGTTAGGGTTTAAGGATTGGGTTTAGGGTTGGGGGTTTAGGGTTTAGGGTTTAGGGTTGGGGGTTTAGGGTTTAGGGTTTAGGGTTTAGGGTTTAGGGTTTAGGGTTTAGGGTTTAGGGTTTAGGGTTTAGGGTTTAGGGTTTAGGGTTTGGGGTTGAGGGTTGGGGGTCGAGGGTTGAGGGTGTAGGGTTTAGGGTTTATAGGGGTCCCCTATTTTCGTACACCCCATATAGGTACGGCTGAAAGGCCTATGTTCAGGGCGCTATTCCTATCTCCCCTTTATAAGGCCGAACATTCAAAACCCTGCAACAAAGGGTTTTAGGGTTTAGGGTTTGGGGTGTAGGATTTTGGTTTGGGGTGTGTGGTTCAGGGTGTAGGGTTTAGGGCCCCCAGGCCTACGCCTCCTAAAGCCGTAAACTACAGCCCGAAAAAAAGCCCCTCCACAATACCTGCTGGATCTCAGAGTAAGCTGGGAATAAAGCAGGGTCCTAGCCCTAAACCGTAAACCCTAAACCCTAAACCCTAAACCCTACACCCTAAACCCTAAACCCTAAACCCTAAACCTAAACCCTAAACCCTGAACCCTAAACCCTAAACCCTAAACCCCAAAACCCTAAACCCTAGCCCTCCACGAGCCCCCAAGGCCGCGAGCCCCCAAGGCTGCAAGCCGAACTCTGTGCGATCCGGGCGCATCTGGTGGATCGCCAGGGCTGTGGTACAGCCGATCACCTAGACATGCAGGGTATAGGGTTTAGGGTTTAGGGTTTAGGGTTTAGGGTTGAGGGTTGAGGGTTTAGGGTTGAGGGTTTCGGGTTTAGGGTGCAGGTATTGAGGCCCCTTTTCCTGAGGGCTTCGAGCTTCGAATCTTTCAAGACACACACACAGACAGGCAACAAGAAGAGAAGAAACCTCCCGTAGCTTCTAGATCTAAACCTCAAGCTTCAAACTAAACTCATCTTCCTTGAGGGTCCATGCACCTATATATCGTACATACTTGGGCCTTAAAAGGGGTTCCCAGATAGCAGGATCAGGGCCCAGGGATATACTATATATAGAAGTACATGGACCCTTAGGGCTTCCACCAGCACATGAAGAAGTATGAATATAAGCACGGACTTGCATACAAAATACACATATAAATGAAAATAGAACATACAAATACTTCATAAGACTTTGTACATGTACGACATGTAAACAACATACTAATATCAGAACAAAGTCCCCAACCCTGACAAAAAAAACTGGGCACTGCGACTTTTTTGCTGTCCCTCGAAACCCTAAACCCTAAACCCTAAACGTTAAACCTTCAACTGCTCCCAGGCGCCCACGATCAGGCGCATGCCCGACACTGAGAGGTCCATCGCGCGCTTGGTGGCAGCGCTCAGGGGCACGTACTCCTGGCTTATGAGGAGAAGGATTTAGGATTTAGGGTTTAGGGTTTAGGGTTTAGGGTTTGCTCAGATGCGGGCTTTAAGGCTGAGGGGCTGAGGGATGTTGAGGGCTTAGGATTAAAAAAGGGCTTCGGGTGGTGTTGGAGTTCTGGAGTGAGCAGGGTTTGGGGGGAGTTGAGGTGTGGAAGGGCTGTGGGGTTTGGGATTTGAGGTTAGGACCTTAACCCTTTCATAACTTTACCCTAAACCCTAAACCCTAAACCCTAAACCCTCAAGCCGGCTTGGAGGCTAGGGTGTGAGGGTTGAGGGATGCGGGTTTAGGTTGACTAGGTTGATTCGGGCTTAGGGGAAGGGATTGCGCGGCCTTGCCCCTGATTAGTGTTTAGGGTTTAGGGTTTGGGGGGTCCGGCTCCCTTGTATATGAAAATATTTGTGTTGTTCGTTTCCGAAATTGGTGGTACCTTGTTGGGGTCCGTTTATAAGGGAATCCTACTATTTGGAGTCGATTTTAGGGGTCCCCTATTTTCGGAAAACCCCATCTTGAAAGGCTGGTTGTGAAATGGCCTGAAATAGTGGACCCCAGTTGAGAACCGACAACCCCCAATTGGGTCTGCTGACCTAGGCTCCTGGGTACACTGCATATAAGGCCCCGTATGATAGTAGGAACTCCAACAGAGCGGAAACCCCGATGTTCAAAAACCTACGCTGGCCCTGAGCCCGAATTTGCGAACAGCAAACCCTCAACCCTGAACTCTACACCCTATGATGTCCAAGCCCAAAGGACCCTCAATCCCAATGTAGTGCCTCAAGCTCGGCGCCGAAAAAAAGGTCCGTCTGGCGCAGAGCTTCAAGGGTTTGGGGTTCAGAGTTTAGGGATTACACTCATAAGGCTCGCTCAACCCCATAACCGCCCGAAGCTAAACCCTAAACCCTAAACCCTGAACCCTAAACCCTAAACCCTAACCCCTAAACCCTAAACCCTAAACAGCCTAAAGCGGCATGTTCACCTCAAAGACCGGCTAGTCCACAAAGGCTAGGGGGCATTCGCTCACACTAAGTCCACGAACCTCTGAAACCTTGAAGCCCTAAATCC